CTCACGGCTGCTCAGCCACCTCTTACAGAACCTAGGACCACCAGCCCAGGGGTGACACCAACCACAATGGGCTGGGCCCTGCCCCACCAATCACTAATTAAGAAAATGCTCTACAGGCTTGTCTACAGCCTGATCACAGGAGGCATTTTCTGAATTGGGATTCCTTCCTCTCAGATGACTAGATTGTCAGGTTGACATGAATCTCATGAATTTAGCCAGCACATAACCTAATTACAAAAATAAATCATTTTTTTAAAAAAGGTATACTAATAATTAAGAAGTATTCCCGCATTTCAACATCCACAGAGTGAACAATGAGGGTGGAAGGAAAGAGGGAGAAAAGAAAGGAGGGGAGAGGGTGGAGAGAGACTATGCCTCTAAAGACTTGGCTTACACTGCTGTGAGTTATGAAATCTGCAGAGCTGGCTGGCTAGACATTCAGGTAGGAGGTGATGTTACAACTTTGAGTCCAAAATCTACAAGTTTTGCCAGGAAGCCCCAAACAGGCTTGCTCTGTGCTCAATGCTGGAGACAGAATTGTTCTGACAGTCTTAGATGGATTTGACAGCACTCTTGTCCATATGAAGCGGTGTCCTGTTGTTAAATCTGCTGACTCCATGTTGTAATCATGTCCACAAATAGCTTTCACAACATCTGTTCAATCAAACAACTGGGCATTCCAGCCCAGTCAAATCATCATACAAAATGAGAGCACATCTTAGTGAAGTAGATTCTGGCTCTTCAAAGCATGTTAGCAATATTTAACTGTCATGTTTTTGTTTTGTTTTGATCTCGTGACTGACAAAAGTATTCACTGGCTTTAGAGACTCAGTTGAGCAAACTCTGAGCAGCACTAATTTTCCTTAACACAAGTTGGGTTGTGATGGTAAAAGATCAACTGAGACAAACTGAGGGTAAACAGGAGATAGCACAAACTTATGCTGTCAAATGGCATTTTGTGTTTTGCTGCTGGTTAAAATTAGTTAACACACACTGGGGGCTGTTTTGGTGTTCTACAGTGAAGACAAACACCACCAGCTCTCCTCATAATTTAATTTCTCAGTTCCAATTCTGGTATCTCAACTAGATTCACCATTACGCAAACAATTTCAGAAAACCACAACTATGAGTGTTCAGATGCCAAAAAAAAATTGTGAGAGTTGGGGGGAGGACGTAAGGAGGAGGAGAGGGAAAGAGAGGAATATGTATGCCAGAGGACAACTTTTTTGAGTTTTTTCCCCTTTTATTGTGATACTAATTAGACAAAAGCAACTTAATGGAGAAATTATTTATTTTGGCTTACAACTTAAAGGCAAAGTCTAGCACGGTGGGAAAGTCTAGGTGGCAAGAGTGTGAAGCAGCTGGTCACAACACAACCACAACCAGAAAACAGCTATGAAAGCACACCACTGCTCAGTTTGCCTTTCCCCTACTTTATACAGACCGGGATCCCTGCCTAGGGGATGGTCCCACCCAGTCAAGATGAGTCATCCCACATCAACTAATGTAATCAAGGCCATCCTCCACTGACACGACCAGAGGCCAGATGCTCGTCTCCAGTGGACTCTAGATTCTATCAGATTGGCAACACTCTCACAGGGGGTGTCCCTCAGGTACCATCTTTTTTTTTTGGGGGGGGGGGCCTCTCACTGGTCTGGAACTTCTTCAGTAGGTGAGATTGTTTGGCTACATAGGTTGTTGGGCGCAGACTTAGGCCTTCGCAGCACTTTGCCATCCCAGCACTGAGAATATTAATGTGGAAACTGCCTCAGGCCTGCTTGCTGAACCTAGTTTCGGATGCTATTACCATGCAGCACTGATTACTTACCAGGTGAACTGTGGGGAAGGCAGAGGACATTTTCCTTATTGGGACCATCAAGGATGATTCAGATTGTGACTTTAAGTAAATTGTATATTACCTAAAGATAAAGGCTCAAGAAGTGAATTCCCTCACTGGAAAGCAGCAGGCTTGCTCCAGGGCCCAGGCACTTTCCATGCTTACACAACACATGGGTAGAAGGAAAGTGCTCACTTCTTCAAGAACTCTCTTCTGTGAAACATGGTTTAACTCCTCTCTCTTTCCCTTTTCTCCCTATTTCTCACTGCTGTATGGGCAAAGGTCTCTCCACACAGGGGAGGCTTTTTTCCCCACAAGAAAGGACATCAGGTCCCGGTCAGTTTCCGTTTATCAGTTTGTCCTTTAAATTTCATTATTTTTAAATTACGTGTGTGTGAATGTGCACACATATACAGATGCCTGTGAAATCCACAAGAGGGCATCAGATCACTTGGAGCTGGAGTTCTAGGCAGTGGGGATCCATCCAACATGGGTGCTAGGAGCCCTCTGCCAGAACAGTATGTGCTCCTAAGCCGGGAACAATCACTCCAGCCCTTGTAGACCAAACTCAAGTGTTTCTTACCTTACTTTGCTGTTTTCCAAGTTCTCACTGGCGTCAATTAGGCCACGTAAGGAGTGCCTGTGTTGTGGTGGCTGGGGTCAGTAGGAAGGGGAAAAGTTTCCCAGGCACAGTAATGTTAAGTTATCCTGCACCTGGGCTCACTCAGGTCCAGGCTGCAGTGCTGGAGTGTCCGCCTCCTGCAAAATCGTCAACTTCCGTGGTCTACTCTTGGCTTCATAAACAGCCTCTTGAGCTTTTCTCTTCGCTACCTCTTCTCTTTTTGTAGCAACACATTCTTAATTGCAAACCCAATAAACAGAAGAAACGCTGCTGAGATGTGCCTCCGAGACTCTCTGAAGCCTTGGTGCCTAAGTTTTTCAGTTCTCAAATTCATTTAACAAAATTTGTATAGAGTCAATCTTACCTAGCTAGTAGTGTAGTAAAATCTGAGGAACAACTCTGGGCCTAAAACTGAAGCATCAGTCTGGAACCAGGGGACCCCTAACTCAGTATTCGGATATTGAATCTGGTTCTGCCTTAAGGAGCGAGCAGAGCAAGTTAGCTAGGGAGGGAGTGGGGGAGTAGAACCCAGGCAGTGGCTAGGGGTACCCTGGAAGGCGTAATTAAGTTGGAAGTAGCTTCATGTGGCAGCTAATGAAGCTGTGAGGAGGCAGGCATGGCAGGCCTAAGCTCTGATTCTGGAGGTGTCGATGAAGGCTTTTAGGCAGGGACACCCCATGCCAAATTTAGATTGCCAACAGGTACCAAGAATATAGTGACAATAAAGAAAGGCTGAGCAGAAAGCTGGGTGGAGGGCGGCATCACAGTTCTCTAACAAACAAAGTGTAAGCAGCGGGTATGTATGAACGACGCATCGGCCTCTGAGGCTCCAGAAGCTAGGCAGAGATGCCTGGTGAAACTGGAGTCTTGGGCTAAGAGGATACCCTAGAACCCCAAACACAATGGATGTTGGCAAGAAAGGGCTTTACCCAATTAACTGCTTAATTGAGGCCTTTGGTCAATTAATATTTTTATAACGAGCCAAAAGCATGTTTTGACCAACTCTACCATCTCACATACAGGACAGTCTACACTATTGCTTTCATCTGAGAATGGTTAAAGAGCACATTCAAGGCCCATGGAGATATTCATCAGGCTGTGTACTGCAAACTTGTGAGCAGTGGCTGGGCCGTGTGTACAAGCAATAGTTCTGAGGGCTCGGCCAGTGCTCACAGCACCTCAAGTGGTCCCTTAAATGAAGGGGAACCAATGGAAAGCTGCCGTCTAGGTTGGCATCTTCCCTGGGGTCTCAGCACTGTGAAGAGATGAAGTTCCTGACACTGGCTGGAAATTATACTCCTTTGCATGAAGACTAAAGTTGGCTGGTCACTAGTGACCTTTTCCCCATAGCCAAATGGGTCATGATCTGATAAGCATTATTTACCAAGTCAACAGCTGGCTTCAGCAGGACACACTCCACCTGAGGGACATCAGAACTAGTACTCAGTGCAACAGTACTCTACTCCACTCTCAATAAGCTCAAAGAAATGTATTTATTTTCCAAGCAGAGTACTTCCAGTCTATTCTGATCTAAGAGCTGTCAGGCCCTACACTGTTAACACTTTACTGACACGGATGCTTTCACTCTTAGTCATCAACAGAGGTGAGATTCACAGACATGGAGGCTGGCTCAAAGGCAGCTTTGCTTTCTACAGGACAAATTTCTCAAGTGCTAAACTGACATACTAACTTGAGCCTTGAGGCCTGTGGGAAGTGGTGAATGGTCAGCAGGTTCTGCAGCTCTCAGGATGGCAGGGAGAACTAGGAAACTGAATCAATCAAGGTTTGAGAAACTTTATCTGAATGGGTTTACCCCCTTCTGCAGGGAAACTGGCTGTATTTTCACAGTTCAACCCAGGGTACTTCCATTTGGGAATGCTGCAAGAGACAAAAATCTAAACGGTGTTAAAATTTTACTGTTTTCTAAAGCCATTGTGTGATTTTTTACATGAAGTGACTTATAACTCAACTCTAAAGAAGCTGGATAATAAAAAGACAAGTGGAGAGAGCCGGTTTAATGGCTAAGAGCACTGGTGCCTTTCAGAGCAGCAGAGTTCAATTCCAGCACCACAATCAGAGTATCTCCAGCAACATGGGATCTGACACCTTCCTCCCACCTACACGGGCACTGTGGTGCAGTACACATATATAAAACAAAAATGTAGGGAATCAGACCAAAATCTTATGCTCTATTTTTATTGTCTGGCAAATATGGACCACACAACTTCAAAAGATGGATGCAGTGTTTCTCAAACACATCAAGTCCTAAGCATGACTGGAAGAATCACAAGTGGATTCAGATTTAGTGACTTTGGAGCTGGGAAAGATATACTTTGGAGCTAAATGGTTGAGCAATATGTGAAGCGCTTGGTTTGAATTCTAACAGTGAATGAAAAGAAAAACGAAACAAACAAACAAAAAACCCATATATTTTTAAAACCCTTAACAATCAGGTAATTTGGAAACATGCCAGTTACAGAGCCCTCCAAGACTGCTGCACCACACTACCTGACAAGGACACATTTGACTGGAGTTAAGACATTATCTATAGAATACAGTTTATTTAAAGTCCAAAACACAAAAACACTTCCTTTTAAAAAACAAAATGCATTGTTTTTACTGCATCAATACCTGGGCTTCTCACAAATGCAGATTATCAACCTTCAGGCTCAATGTTCAGATATACCAGTTTACTACAGAGTAAGATATATACTTTAACAATTTATTTTTAGAAAATATTTTACATAAAAAAGAAAGCATTTACCAACTCGCCTTAGTCTTCACAAGAGTTCTTCAGCCAGGATTTGGTGATCACCACACTTCCCTAGAGAATATTCCAATATGCTAAGAGTGTAGCATTTTGCACCCTCTGCTTCCTGTTGCATCTTTTGATGGCTTCTGCTTGCATTACACCCATCAGGTACAAGTCTTTTAATGTCACCAAAATCTAGCCTTTTCTATGTGGGAGCAACCTGCTTCTGACCAAGAATCCATAATGATGAAGCCAAAATCTGGCCTAAGCAGGCTCTGAAATATAACTTTTTCAGCTAACAAGCAAGGGATTTACTAGCTATCGGCACAATACTGTGTTTTTATGTCAGCTCCTGCTTGGAAGGCTGGTGCTCCTACCCACTGGCAGCAAAGCCTAAGCATACAATACATCACATCTTACCTGAACCATCTACCAAAGTGGACCTGCCTTGGACGAGCATGGGGTGGGTACAACTTGGCTAACCAGGGGCCGGTTTTCATTTCCAAGAGTTTCTTTTCTTTCTTTCCTTTTTTTTTTCTTCTCATCCTGAATCAAATGCAGTCTTATTAGTATATGACACACTGGCTCATGGCTCTGCATTTAGAGTCCAACTCGAGCTAATTTGGTTTATTGTACATGCTTTATTAAAACGGTACTCGTATTTACAGCATCGCAGAAAGAGTCCCTCCCAAGGTGCTCTCACACACATCCAGACTCACCCACACAAGACATTCATACCACAGCCCCATGCACCCACACCAGTGACAAATGTGAGGGTCAGACTCCTAAAATTAGGCAGCTGTTGGGGAAGAGTTGTTGATTTTCAATTTTCTTGGAAAAGAAAAAGCATAGGGGATGCATTTGGCCATCACAATGTTAGCTATTGTGTAGTAACACATGGCAGTTAACACTGAGTACTCCTCTTCCATTCTACACAGAATGACAACCTCAGTCTCAATGCGGCTTGTAGTGACTTCTGAATTCACAGAGGGGCTTTCCCTAAAAGTAATTCAAGTTTATGGAAGTGAAATAAGGCACAATTAATATTTATTTGCCCTAGCAGAAGGGAGGGAAAAAAAGAAAACTGGTTTCAAATTATCTTAGGTGGGAACTACTGACTTCAATCGACTGGAAATCCCTCTAACTTCCAAATCTTTCTCAGAAGGACGGATTTCCTCTTCCCTGACAAGCCCCGAAAGAAAAGTTTGGGAATCCATGTTTTCATGTTCCAGTAGCCTCAATTTCTTAAATGAGTGTGCAACCCCCACTTCCCTGCCCAAGGCTCTTCCCTTAACACAAATGAAGCAGCCTGCGAAACAGGATCCCTTGCTGCTTGCAGAGCTGCACACTTGAGTAGCAAATACCTATCTGGTTGTCTTTGATACTTTTTTGTTTTGTTTTAAAAGAGAGACAGGGAGGGGAGGGGAACAGGAAGGCAGAGAGAAGGAAGAGGGAAGCAGGAGGGAAGAGAGAGTAGGAAGGGGGTAAAATCAACCTGGTGATTTCCTTGCTGTTAAGAAGGCCCTGTCTCCTTCTCGGGATGATGAAGCCCACTAGACATTACAGACAACTGCAACAAATTCATCCGGCAGCACAAACAACGCCTCGTATTCAGGTCTTCAGAGTGAGGCACATTATCTTGTACACTCTGGTGAAATGTTTCTCACAGCAGGTGCGTCACACCCAAAGACTGGACATTCTCTGGAAGGAGTAAGAGTTGCAGTTCTGAAGGCCCCTGGCTTTGGTTGTTCACAAAGTTCAGTCCTGTTTACTGTGATCCTTGGTGTCCTCCTCATCTGTGTACTCTGAGGGTTCTTCTCCTGGCTTTAGGAGTCTGCCTACATAATCATATTTTTCTGAAAGACACACCAAAAGAAATGCAGTAGTGGTTAAATTTGTTCACAATCCCACTGCACTACAGAAACTACACACACTTGCCTCCTAAATCAGACAGAATAGCTGGTCTCCCAATACTTCATTTACATGCATGTACGGCCTGAACAGAAGGCAATAGGGAACTGACAAGGGTCAGGGCTGCTCTTTAAAGTAGAGTTCAGTGTCAGTGGTCTTAATCAGACACTATCAGCATTACTTGGAGTTTTAAAATGTACATGCATGGACCATCTTAGAGCTGTTGACATGGCTTTATGACATGAGCCTTGTGGCTGTTTCATTTGTTGGTTCCAGGGTTTGAACCTGAGGCTTCATGAAGGTGCTCCATACTGAGGTCCACCGCCAGTTCTATTCTTTTAGCTCTTAATAACCCGAAATATTAGTTTAAAAAAATCATAATCAGATGTAGTGGTTCATCCATACAGTTCCAGCACTTAGACTGCCAAGAGTTTGAGGTCAACCTAGCCCCCCCCACCATGTATGTATATAGGTGTGTGTGTGTGTGTGTGTGTGTGTGTGTGTGTGTGTGTGTGTGCATAAAACTGGGATTTTCTATGTCATTTAAGCAGTGGATTAGAAAACATGGCTAATATTCTGGAATATAGACACGCGGACAGAAACGGGAGACTTTCTTAGGCTAAAGGAACAGAGGGTGATGGTAGGAGCAGAGCATGTGAGGTGGAGGACCACAGAGTAAGCAGATCTGAGAAGACATTCTGGACAAAAGACTGTGACAAAGTAGTGGGGACAAGAACTACCTGACCTCACTCCTGTGGGCTCTGCAAGGCCCCACCACATCATCACTCTTTCCCTTGTGAAGCTCTCTCCTTAGATCTGCTACTCTGCTTGCTTTTATGTGCCAGGTATTTAATTTAGAAGCTTGACTGCATGTAAAACTTGTTTGGTGTCTGGAAGTAAAAATCTAGGCTAAGTGAATATGCTGAAGAGGGCGTTAAGGTGGGCGCTGCACACAGACAACCAAGACAAGTGCCAAGAAGCCCACAGAGTTGCACAGACCCAGCAGGAGATGAGTGGCTCGGGCCAGGTCACACACGAGGAAAACATTGAGGCTATGAGGGGCACAACAGAGGGCACAGCATTCCTTCTTTACCACTCAAAGTTAAGAACAAATCATTTGCAATACATTATCATTAGTATTGACATCACTAATTCATTTGTTGTTGCTGCTGGTTGGAACCCAGGGCACAAGGTCACGCACAATCTGCTACATACACCCTAACCCTTCAGCTTGTTTTAAATAGCTATTTAACAAAACCAAACAAAAACATTTCTTAATGAATAAGTCTTAAAAATCTATTGAAAACACCAATTTGAGACTGTTGGGCCCAAAAGCACACATTACTACCCATTCTCAAATACAGACTTTCAACCCAGTTGTTACATGTACAGTTATATTAATATTAAACTATGTTTTGTTTGTTTCCAAGACAGGGTTTCTCTGTGTAGTCTCGGCTGTCCTGGACTCACTTTGTAGACCAGGCTGGCCTTGAACTCAGAGAGATCCACCTGCCTCTGCCTCCCATAACACTGGGATTACAGGCATGTGCCAGTAGCTGGCTAAATTTAACTATTTTTAAAATACATCATAATAATGATGAAAGTGAAGATAGATTGTGTCCTTCAAAGACTGTGCGACAGCGTATATAATTCAGTTTTCCAAAAACTCCCCAAATGAAGATACCTTTAAACTGCATTTCCCATTCTCGAACACTCTCCATTTGCACTGCGTTCAAATCTGAGAGGTCGTCATACTCATCTCTAAGTGCATCCTTATCCAGGCAGAACGTTGCCAGCCCCCTGGAGGCGTCCCTGCCAGCAAAGATCCCATATGGGCCCGCTGAAAGACAAAGAGACAACTTAGAGCCTGACACCACTTTTGAGTGTGTCTAAACATTGGGGTCCTTTCCATGACCTGCTTTTGGCACACAGCCATAATTTCATAATATGGAGATTCTGGATGAGATAATCAGAGATTTGCTGGAAATTTCCCTTTTACCAAATAAAGCATTTTACTAGAATAAATTTACTTCAGATACCCTGAAACTTTTATACTGGGACAGGAGCGATCAGTGGGATACAGCCCATGAGCGGCTTCAGGAGGTGACCCTATACCCTCGCATATACTGACAGCCCAACACGGACACAGTGGGTATTTAAAAAGCACATTAAGTCAGAGCAAAAAGTTGTGGTGGGGATAGGCAAGGAATCATAGGGGAGGCAATGGGGTAGGTTTGATCAAACACATCGTGTTCCTGTATGAAACACATGTTCCTGTATCAAATTCTCAAAACAAAAAAGAACTTTAAAAAACACTTTTGTATGTCCATGAGTGCATCAATGTCAGGTCTAGCTCAATCTCCCTGCCTATTTCATGAGATAGCTTGTCTCATACCTTACTGACTTGGCTCAAATGGCTGGTCACAATTCCAGAACCCTGCCGCTCCGTACCTCCAGCACTGCTCATAGGCATGCACAGTGGGACCTTGCTTTCAATGGAGACGCTGGAGATCTGAACTCAGTCCCTAGTGCACATCTAGCAGATACTTCCACTCTACAACAGAAGTCTCTAAGACTGAACTGTTTGTATCTTAAATTACAGAAGGGGTCCAAGAGACCTTTCTGTTCAAAATGCTTCTAAAAAAGATTTAAATGATTTCCAAAATATCTAGTTCTACAAATGACACTTTCAAGTTTATGAGCTCCTCTCCAGATGGCAAAAGTCATTTCTGAGGAAGTTTTAAAACCATAGAGACCTTCATGAGCAGCCAATTACTGGCTTGACCAAGTTAAGAATACTTGTTTTTGTTTATGTATATATGTTTGTGTGTAAAAGATACAGCTTTGCACAATTCAGTCAGAGGACAAACTGCATCCTGCTTTTGGTTCTCAGGGATCCAAAGTCAGGTCAGGCAAGCACTTTTAGCCACTAAACTATCCACCAGGCCCAAGGGAAGTATTAATTTAGTAAAGGGGCTATTAGAAAACAAGAATAAAATGCCTTGATTTCTAAGCATTTAAGAAACTCCACATTAGCTTCAGATGGCCCTGCAGCTTCTGAGACAAGAACTCAAGTCTCACCTGAACAGCAGAGCACCTTACCTCGCATGAGGTAATCTGAATTACTGACTGGACTTCTTGTAAACACGACTGGGGTAGGAAGCTCATTCTTGGAAAGGTCATTGGGTAGAGCTAGAATGGCTTTCCCAGGTTTTTAAGTAGCTTTTTTTAGGTTTGGCCAGGAAGGTGACAGGTGTGCAGGGCCTCTAGCTTCTTTAATTATTAAAGCATTCTCCAAGTTACCAATGGGCATTAGGTGACTATCACAAGCTATAACTAAATGCCTATATTTTTTCTCACTGAATGGATGTACTTATGTTTAATTATTCTCCCAATACTACAAACATTTTTTTTCCCATGTGTTTTCTATATAAGAAATGGATACTATCATTGGTTAAACTTTGCCTATGATCTCAACTGACATTCAAGAAGTTTTTAGAAAATTAAATTTAATATAGTTTCCATTTACAGAGTAAAATTCAAAAGTTCATTAAATTAGAGCTAACTATTTTAGAGGAAAAGTAAATGTTAAAGGCAAGCAAGACAGACAGGCTTCTAGGGCAGATAAGCAGAAAGACCCAACCTACAGCACCCAATCCCCACTTCCTACCTGCTTTGTAGAGACAAACCTATGTAAGTAGACAATGAGCAAAGAGTGAAGGTGGGCTTTTTGTTTCTTATGAAACAAAGATGACCAAAGCCTAAAACTGTACAAATAAAACGAAGAAAGGATAAAAAAAAAAAAAAATGGCTGGAGAGCAACAACCTTGAAGCGGAAACGACAGTTTTACCTTTTAAGAATTTCCCCGTAACTTGAGTCCTTCAGGATTTCACAAAGGAACAGATTTTGCCTTTTCTCTAACTTGGCAGATTAAATAAATACATAAATAAATAAGAAAGATAAAATCAGAGCACAGAATTCAGTGATTTGCCTCTCATCCCCAACAGAACGCTTTTTGTGGGTCTGGATTAAAACAGCATTTCGGTAGTTATATAATTTGCATTTCTCTTATTCTGAATGGTGTGTGTGTTTGTGTGTGTGTTTAGGTACAGAAGTGTGTGTATTTGGCAGCCAGAGGCCAATCTTGAGTGTTCTCAGTTGCTGTCTATTTTTTTTTTTTTTCTTTTTAACCAGGTATCAGTAGTCTAGAATTCAGTAAGTGGATGGGGCAGGTACTGTCTCACTTTCCCCAGCACTCCAAACCCTCCAGAGCATTTATACTGGGAACATTTAGGGTAGCACGGAGGGTGGGCAGGCATTCCTAACAAGCGCTCTGCCTCTCACTGCTGCCCCTGTGGACCTTTTCACTTTTTACTATTTTCAGACAGTGTCACTAGGGTGCCCAAATTGGCCTTCAACTGACTATGTAGAGTCATAACAGGCCTTAAGCTTGCACTCTTCTTGCCTGGACCGTCCATGTGTCTGGGACTGGAATCCTGTACCTCTGTTGCCTAGAAGTTACTCTAGGCATACTGCCAGGCATATCAGAGCATAAACGATGAGACATCTCTGAGTGATGCAAAGGTGAGAATGATGATCAATGCTTATGAAAACAGCACACAGGCCACTACAGGCCCAGGTCCAACCCTCAACACCATAAAATCAAACAAGCAAGCCACCAGAAAATCCTCACTCTTTTTAGAATGGGTTCTCAAGTAAATCTCTGCCAGATTCCCTAAGGGTCAAATCTTAATCTGCCAATCTTTTGTTGCTAAAATAAATTCTAGATAAAATTGGTTTTTGTCAACTCGTTAAAGGAAGAGGATGAGTAATATATTCCTCTGTTCCTTAAGCTACATTAGAGCATCCCCTTCACATGCATCAACTGCTAAAGAGGCCTTTGCTAACATGTGCCATGCTGGAAGGAACCTAAGTAGACTAAGAAGCAGAGCTGGAACTGGGCAGCATGTCTGACAAAGGGAAACTCCAATGTCTGCAAAAAGATGTCTTCCCACATTCATGACACAAGTGGCAATTTCTTCCCTCACATACCCTCCATAACAAACAATATTACCAGCAACAGTATTTTGCTAAATACATGTGACTGTTCATAAAATGAAAACAACAAAAAAGGCAGCTACCCAAGAAAAGTGCATCTGATCTACTGTTAAGCATCTGGTATGATTTACCAAAATAGTAAATGCTGTTTCTGAGTGTCAAGACTCATTTAGACATTATTATGATAATCCCAACCAAGTAATCAGCTATGATGGTGAATATACTTGGAATTTTGATTGCTACCTGGACTAGTAACAGGTAGATTACTCAAAGATGCAGCTCCCAAGCAGTCACAAAATGAAGAATTCATAAATTACACTGCTGTGTAAAATGGGCTTTATGTAAGGTGAGTGTGTTCAACTATAGACTAATGTGGGCCTCATGAACATGTTCAAAGCAAGCTTGGCTAGCTAGGATGCTCCACAGGGTAAGTGGATTGGATATATTTTGACTCAATATTTTCTCTTTTTTTGAGATAAGGTCTCATCATGTAGCCCTGGGTGGCCTCAAACTCACAGAAATCAGTCTGCCCCAACCTCCTGAATGCTGTGATTAAAGGCGGCGATTAAAATTCTACATCACCATATCTAGGTGTGACTCAGCTGGGTGGGGTAGGCACACTTATAATCTCAGCATTCTGGAGGTGAGGGCTGGATTGCTTTGAGTATGAGGTCTGCCTAATGAGACAAACAAAACAAACAAGAAAAAACTAGAGACAAAAGTCAATCAACTTATCAGTTACTAAACCTTAAAACGTAAACTTAAAACTGCTTACTTTTGATACAATTGTGCAGAATGGTGTGACATATTTTTGAAATGGCAACAAACCATCATATGATGTGATGAGGATATATATATATATATATATATATATATATATATATATATATACTCATTATGAAACAATGATAAAAAATATGGTTAAGTATATAAAATCTATAACAAGTAATTTGACTGTAGGATGATAAAAAAAGAAATATTCCACAATAAATATTTTAGTTATTTCCATGCTTAAACCCAGTATTTCTGAAGCTCCTGTAAATGTAGAGGCGGTTTCCCCTGTGACTGGGAAGCCCCAGAATTTAGAGCCAGGACAGTAAAGCTGAAGACTGCTGTCAAGACAAGATGCTCGTGTGCCCACCAAGTGACACACTGACAGGGAAATTATCTTATCTGCCTAAAGCTGAGACCAAACTAGACGCTTCACATACAGTGATGCTACACACAAATGAGAGTCCTATCTTGTTTCTCAGTGTTCAGCTAGAAGGCTTGAGCACACAGAAAAAGGACATAATCTGCAGGGAAAAGGGCAAACTGGAAAGCCATCATGTTAAAATCAGAAAGACAAAGAGCCTGGGTATGTCTCACATGGTGAATACAGACTAAAACACATTGCATGCACAAACGCACGCAAGCACACATAGCCCAAAAAGAAGAATGAGGATAAAAGGAAGGGAAAGGAATAAGCATGAGACATGACGTATACATAAAGGACAAATCTGAAACATAAAGGTCTAAAACACAACACAGGGCTAGATGATGCAGCTACGTGGTGGGATGCTTATCTAGTACGAGGGAGGCCAATGCCAAGAACCACACACAAAAGCAAAATGCTATGCACGGCTAGTGAGGGGTTCAGCAGGCAAGGATGTTTGCCAAGCAAAGACTACCTGAATTCTGAAACCCAGATCCTATGACAGGAGGAGAACAAATTCCTGAAAACTGACCTAGAAACTTCCATATATACGCTGAGTGTCAGCATTCATGAACCCACATAATAA